CCCCATGGCAGACAGTGCTCCTGCCGATGCCATGGCTGCGTTTTAACATCTGTCTGTTCCCCTCTCGGCTTGGCGTGGTTACTCATGCAACTGTGCACAAAACAAATGTTGAGATGGGAGTAGCCCATGTGTCAACTGCAGAGGATTATCTTGAAGATTGCTTGAAGCATCCACGTGGGAAGTTATTGCACAGGACCTGCCTGCCTGCTCAGGGTGCGGGCACCACAGGCTGGAAGGGAAGGGCAGGGGAAGGGGTCACAGCTTGGAGGACAGGGTAAGGGCCTCCACACTTCAGAATCTGCCATCAGTGGCCATTCATTTGGCACTTTCCTTTGACCAACAGCACCACAAAACCTTTTGCCCTCTGAGGAGTGAGGCGATGGGTAAGGAAGGATGTAATAATATTTCTAAATAAGGAGAAACCCACCTGCATGGCAGCCAGCACAGGTTGGTGGGTGCTTGAAAAGCTGTGTCTTAAAGTACCTGATTCAGTATAGTAGGGCTGAGCGTATCCTGCAGCCTACAGGTATGCTGAGACTGTGATCTGCAATTTCTTTGACACTAGCTAGCTAGGTTTTTGGATCACCACAGAATTCTATAGGTAGCTAATCCTTTGCACTTAAAAAATACAGTTAAATTCCTTTAGCAGGGAAGGCCACATTGGCCAAGAACACTAACCTTCAGAAAAGAGAGGTCACGATTGTGCTCCACGTATGTAATCTCTAGGTTGCTGAGTACCACCTCGCAGTTGTTGTACATCCTCTGCAGGCTGGTGAAATGGTCTTCCACATGTCCCAGTTGGGTCAGCTTGTTATTTGTCCCTTGACAAACTGTGGAGGAAAGAAGAAAGCTCCATGAAGGAAAGCAAGAATAAGTACAGGGTACAGTGTTGTTGCCCACCTATCTTTAGAAGCACCATAGTAAGTGAAGCATCAGCACAGATTCATAAGAAACAAGAATGTTATCTTGCATGACCCTCATGGCAATAGTAGGGAGCACATGACATTTCCCAGGTGCAAAGATGTACCAGAATTAAGAGCTGGAATAACCCTCCGTCACTTTCTGTTATATAAAAAACTCCACGATGAGACTTTTGTACATAAGTAGCACTAAGTTTTCTGTATCACAAACATAACTCAGTTCCTGAGGAGAGGGTATTGATACAGTGCCATCAAACACTATTGAAAGTGGCCCACTGCCAGGTATCAACAAAGGCGATTTCCCTGAGGGGGCATTGGGGGTCCTTGTAAGCTCATTGGGAGGGAGCAGGGGGTTTTCTGCAGGACCCCTCAAACTACAGGTCTGGATTTTAAGAGCAAACTGAACCTCCGGGGCTCACACACCTCTTGCCACTTTGACATATTGGGAGTATGACAGATTCAGGAGATTTCTAGGCCTCTTCAGCTTTGACACACAAACCCACCTAAACCTGCTTTGCTGGTGGGGAAGGAAGTGGTGCCACACAGAGCACCACTGAGATTACAAACATTTATAATGGCATGATAGAAAAATTAGTCCCCACATGAAATTCTGTTACTCTGCTTTACCAAACCTAGATGATCTGACAAAAGTTATCACCACTATATTCGATTGCAATGAAAAAGCAAAGTGAAAATTGCTTTAAAGAAAAAAACACCACACACAAGCCCCAGATGCTCTGTACTTATCCAGTCATTCCCTGGGCTATCCTTACATAGTTAAAATTAAAATACCTCTGAGTTACGCTAATACAGGGGAAAGGAGAACGATACAGAAGGCAACATGGTAAGAAACTTCACAACACCTTCCAGATGGAAAGCTCCAGCCCAACTTTGCTCTTCAGTGGGAGCAAAAAGAGGCCGTTATCTCATTGTCGCTATAATGCAACCCCAGCCTGACCTCATGGCTTTCCATAACACACTGAAAGAATTGCGGTCTTTCGACTTGCAGAAAATAATAAATTAATTGATACTTTTGTAGAGCCATAATTCCTAGAAGCACCAGTCCCAAACTGGAACACCATTGTGTGGGACGCTGCAAAGCAAATAACAAAGACTCTTCACAAAGCTGGAAATAAGTTTCGGAGCTGGACAACACCTGATGAAGGTTTACCGAACAACTGATCTTTTATTAGCAGGAAAAATAACTTAATAAGCAGTGACAAAAACACACTTATCAATCATCAAAACCATTTGCTGAACATATGTTACTTCTGAGTACAGTCATCACGATTAAGGAGCTACGGTGATAACAGATTAAATACTCTTCTTCCATGTTTAAAACAAGGCTATTCACTCACATTCCTCAGTTATTTCTCCGTATATGTCTAGATAAACATTATGGTGTTTGGGACCAGAGTGGCAACCGCTAGTAAATGGGGACAGTTTAACAGGGGCTGTGATCACACCATCTAAGCCACTTGTTACTACATGAGCCTTAAGTGTAGAAAATGACCCTTTTTACATTTGCCTTGAAATTCTCTGACAGACAAGAAATTTCTAAGCGGGATTTTTTGTTCCAGTTTCAAATTTCCAGTTCCAATGTGTTCACACTTAAAATCTGCATTTGCCACCTTTTGCCTTGAGTATCTGGACCACAAATTATCAGCCAGAGTCACAGGAGAGGTCTTATTCTGTGGAGTGATCACATCTTGAAGGCAGAAAGTTAGAAGTATTGTCATATGCTTGTCTGCTCTGTAAATTGTGTTGTTTGGGACGGGGCTGAAGAGGCTTTGAACTGATTCGAAAAGTCAAGGTCCTCCCAGAGGCTGTCTTGAATTTTAAAGAATGTTATCCTCCAGCTGAGGAAAAAGTCAGTAATAAAAGATTCTCAGGCAGTTAAAATCCTCAGCTCGAATGCTCAGTTTAGGCAGCTCAGATGTGATCTCTAAAAAGGTGAGATTTTGAAATGCACTCAAATACAATGAAGGAGCAGGTGCGGCTTAGGCTGCTCACAACAATGAAGCCATGTAAGTCAGCCTGTTATGGTCTTCAGGGTCCACAAATGGACTGATGCTCTCATTGCATCTCTGGTGTTCACGGCAAAGATCTGCTCTGGTACTCAAGACAGACCCTATGCAAAAGCTGCAGTGTTTATGCTACGTCTGAATTGAAGGAGGGATGGAAGAAGGAGTCTTCTCTGGTGGCATCGTCCTGGCCACCCATGCCCATGATCGACCCTACATAGCTTGGCACCAGTCGGATTGTACAACAAACAGTCCAGCTCACTGAAACAAGCCCTAGGAGAAACTGCACACATTTGAATGTGCTTCCCTTGGGATCAGACAACCGTTGGAGCTCTGAACTTGGCTCAGCCGTCTTAAGAAATACAGACTGCTTTTTCACTGCTTACTAGGTCAAGGCCGATGCAGCAGGCAGAGGACATGGTTACTCTTGCGCTCCTCCCTCTCCCATGGGGCTGGGCAGTGAACCATGCCAAAGAGTTGATCCAAGCTACAAATAATGCAGAGCAATAAATAAATGGACAGAGGGTATTTATAGCTCAGGAAAGCTCGCTGATTTGGTTCACCATGGTGCCCCATGAACTGCTGCACTGGAAACAGTTCCGAGGACAGTGAGAAGGCAGGGGCAAATAGTGAAAGGAAGGAGCCTACCAGCTTGTGAAGCTGCAGAGGGAAACCCAGACATAATGAGCTCCAAAGAAGCCTCAGGGTGGTCCTCCAGGACCTACTTTCTTCCCCTGTTCTGTAAGTAGAGAGCACTTTGATGGCTCTCTACCAAAGGTGTCTTAAGCCACATGCAAAACTACTTGTCTCCTCCATCAGGTTCATCACATCCTCTACACAGTAAACAGAAGGTGCAGAGGAGATACTAGTTAAGATCCAGAGAGCAAAAGAAAATGGGTTGCTTCTGTTAAGATCTCAACAGTATATGGCTAGCATCAGTCAGACCACCCCATAGGACCTTTCTCCCTCATGCACAATTTTTTGTTTGCTCAAAGAGATGCAAGGCCAAATCCTTCTTTGCTGCAAAGAGATCTAAGTACATCCAAAAAGTGAACTTCATCACAGCAGTATTTACCAAATGAGAACCTGGGTCACAAGCAGTACATGCTGCGCAAATAAAACCCAAATCAAACAAAACAAGCTAAACCCCTCCAGCAGTATTACTGCACTCAGGCAAAGGTGCCGAATAATTTTCCAGCTAGAACACTTGGAAAGAAAAGAAAATGGCCTACTTGCATCTGATGAATAATACCATTCGTGCAATTTCTTTGCTTATGAAAACAGTGTTCTGAAAAGATACGTGCTATAATTATCTGTATGTAATACTACAGTGTGAATGCCATTCTGGCCAGAGGCAAAAGCAGAGACAATGCGGTGCTCGCCTTGCTCCGCAGAGTTTTAAGTGGGACGTGCATGCTTGAGTGGATGGATTATATTATGATTTAACCTCTCTTGAGCTTGACCTATTTGCCCTCCAAAGGACAGATTTTGATGCCACATAAATTCATTATATACTTTTGTTTCAACGTGTAGCAAAGCCAGCGCTATCCAGGTTTAGGAGTCAGTGGTGGGTATGGATACTTACAGGGTACTGCTTGGGGGCTGTGGTAGTACGTACCACATAATATATGTCCCATGTGGATGCTTACACATGGCTGCAGCACCTTTTAACTATAAAGGAGATCAAAAAAACAGAGAAGTTTCCTAAAGAAAATTCAGGGTGAGAATGTCCCAGACCAGCAGAAAAGCCAAGATCCAGAACGGAACTTCAGGGCACGGGCTGATCCCTAAAAGACAATAAGCATTGCTCTTAGCTGTGATGTTAATATAATAAAAATACAGCCAGTCTGGAAAGTTTTGACACAGAGAGGATGTCCCAGGAGGCCTCTGTCTGCAGCAGTGCTGAGAGCAGGAGCGCTGGGGCTCTCCTGCCCCAGCCTGGGTGACCTGCCGGACCCCCAGAGCCCAAACCATCACCCCTGCGACGTGGAGGTGACCCAAAAAGTCTGCAGAGCAGCAGCATGGGACACCACTGCAAAGCATTTGATTTCTATAGGACATTGCTCTTAGCACACACACTCTGCTTCCTAATCGCTAATGTTGATCTTGAATCGGTTACAGTATTACCTCAACAGACAGCCTAAAAAAAAAAGGCAGATATTGCTGAAATGAGTCAAAATGTCAGGCGCTGTATCAAACAGCAGCGACTGAAGAGCTGAAGAAAGAGGCACACTGTACTAATAGATGCAAACTCGCTGAATTTTAGTGCTTATGCAGTGCAGGGTTGGCTGCCCTGGATGCTAAAATCCTCTCTCTGCCCCCAGACATGCTCGGTCCCCTTCTCTGCCTCAAAACTTAGCCTTAAAGGAGTATTTCTAGGTGATACAAATGCATCCTGCAATCCTCTGCTCCTTGGCTTTTTTTTTTTTCCCCTCGCGCAGCCCGAAGTAGTAGAGTGAAACCAAAGCATTTCCTAAATGGCTCTTTCCACGAGTGATGGTAGGGAGACAGAACGCATCTGTCCAGCCGTAACGCTAAGCGACTGTATTCTCCCAAATCCATACAAGCTCAGATTAAACAAAGTGATCTCTGCAGCAATTGCCCTGATACAAGTGAAATCTGTTTTCATCTTTTCCCCAGAAAATCTGATTACTGGAGTTCTAATCTTGTCACGCATATTTGTCCCAGACTTGAGAAAAACCCTGGAGAATGCTTTGAAACCAAATTATCACCAAACCCCAAATCATCAGCTGTTTCTGTCCATGCTTAGCCTCTGTTAGTCTCCTTGCAGCTCTGACAGACACATCAAAATAGTATCTTGCAAAGGCAATTTCAGAGACACGCAAGTCCATTTCCATGCTTCATATATCACTTACAACTCTATAC